ACTGTGTACTTATTTTAACATATCTTCGAGTGCTATCGGTAAATAACTTCTGTACCTAAGGGCATCGCGTTAGTTAATAATGTCTGATACAGAGATAAGACGAATCCCATTATGAAGATTGTGCTTGGTGCTCATTACCGGTGATATCGATCAGGGTTCTGTAATTGTGGCTAATTATAAGCACACCATCGCCATCCCCTCGCGAACTCTTTGCTCTACAGCATATCCTTTAGTAGAAATAATATAAACAACTTTCTTCGTCTTCGAGCAGGGAGACTTGTACACTGTGTTAGTATCTCTGTCGAATTTCGGTTGATATACTTCTCGGGATAACCATTATTTATTTGCATGCCTCTTACGAGATTCTCAGTATTCGTTGAAACATCTTGTCACTCCAACTAGACAGTGGATTTTGTTTGTGCTACTCCCGAAACCATTTTCTTCTTCTGCTATCTTTTCTTCACTCATACAATGTACATAGATTTATGTTTGGTATTATTGTTTATTTCACGGAATGTTTACATTCATTCGCGATTTGATTGCCATTCTCTCCACCTCTTGATTTGTTTTATCTACCGTTCCCATAATTAACCCATAGAGTTTCTGTGAAAAGGGTTATCGGAGAAGATATGCGACTATACATGGCAAAAGTCAATTAACTGCTTGCAATGACGAACATGGAAACATCTCATCCTTAGCTGGGTAGATTAAGTTCTGTTAAGATAAATGAATCACCTCGCCGGCAATATTTGAGATCCGGGCTGGTTAGTCTATGAATATACATGCTGCATCTCTCAGTATCACATTACTTTCTTTCTCTCCCTCACTTATTATCTTTTGACTAACCTGAGCATCTGGTTGTCTCACCTGGTGGGGGCAATCCAATGTTCAGATCAATCGTTATCAGCTCAATAGGTTATTTACATGTTTGTGTGCATCAGTCTAGTTTCGCTAATGTAAGCAAACTTTATCAGCCATTCATCTAAAACCAGGTCATTTTACCGATGACCTAAATTGGCCGAATACAAATTACTTTCCGCGTTCTCTCTACTGCTGTCGCTCACAGTCGATCGTTTGCTGAGTGACACGATAGAGCAATCTGTTTGAAACCTGATCACGTTATCCGTCGTTCGTGATCCGTTACGAACATCCTGTTGAGTCTACCTACAAACAGAAATCTTTCCATATAAAATATTCTCTCTTCCTAAAGTGAACATAGTTGGGACTAATCAAATAAGCTCCCTCCGTGGGGCTGTCCGCTCTTAAAAAATAGCATAAGCATTGTTGACCATGCCTACTCCCCCCACAACACTTGCTGTGAGCGGAGCGATACCTTTCGTAATCGAAATCAAGCACACAGGGACCCGTATTAAGTTGTTTTGTGTGCTGTTGTCTTCTTTATGTTTCCTATTTCGTTTCTTAATTCCACGCACGATTCCAAAGCATAGTTTTGTATCTTGAATTACACTTCCCATCAGAACATTTTCATACTCAGTCATGCGACCAACGCCTCTATGTCTTCCACGCACGCGGTGTTTCCTTTCAACCGAATGATGTACCGATTACGCCCTGAGATTCCAATCTAAATATATTCAAAAGCAGCCGCGTCAGTGTGTCTGTTTGTATTGGTTGAACTGTATGGACAGTCCATGCGCAACAGATCTGAATTTTGTTCTTCAGAAATTCTGAAAATTTTTTGGTCATTTGAGAATACTCAACGACTGACCTCTTTTCAACATCACATGCAATCGCGTTCTTCCTGCGCCAGCTTCGTATGCGATGCTTTTCGTGGAGCTACCATTATCTTGGACTTTAATGAAATTTATTTCATCGATAAGGAATGCCTTTCTCGTTGATCAATTCTTTATGATCTGCTGGTGCTTGCTGACTGCATTGTCATGATTAGAAAGCTTCAGTGATCGTACGAAAGGAGTGGCTGTTCTAAAGAAGGAACACTAGTTTCCCTGCGTGGTAGGCAGCTTCGCTATCGTCTGGCTCAACAGCCCACGTGTAACCTAGAGTGTATCCTTATGTGATTTGCCACTTCAAGATATAATAAATACAGGATATTTAAGTGTTGATGGTGAGGTTCAAACACGCGGCTTTCGGGGCAGTGTAATCATCGGCAAAATTCCTTTTACGCAGCCTTTTAAAGAAGGTCTGCGATTGCCTATCTTTACTTACTATCAACAAAACAACGCAATTCGTTCATTTGAGAGCAGGTGTTCTTGGATGATCAGTGAGGTGAAACCTTAACGTCGTTAAAAATAATAACTGCACACTCATCCCTCTGTAGCATTAAATGCAGCGCGTACCTGTCTCATTCGTGTCCCGTATGGAAGGTAAAAGCGTTCTCAGTGCTGACGAGTCTCAACAAACACGAAACATTTGTCCTTTTCTCTTTTTTGATCAACTTTAACTATTCTGTCGCAAACAAAACGCATTTTACATGTAAAGAATGAACGACCTCACAAGAATTGAAGCCTACATCGAAGACCATGAACACTGCTTGGTGTTCGCACACATCGAGTGAGCTAGCCGAACCCTATCATTCTAAATTAATAGAATAATGTTTCCTGACTAAGAGATATTATTTTACTGTCAGCACTCTATGGTGTGCGGGTTTTTATTTCAAATGGTACTGAATTTTACTACTAAAAATAAGAACTACTGCTTTGTTGGTTATCTGGCTTGCTGTATCCTGGACTAGAAAATTCATTCATTCTCTATTTCGTTCCACTTGATGATACAACCGTCAAATGATTCGTTTTGATTCCTTTGCGGTGAATTGCAACGCAGTAACATATAACGAAAAACAGTTGGTAACTGAGTCGTTCAAAACTGAAGTTTAATGGTGATTTTTTTTGCGGAACTGCTCTTCTCTTGCGGATGAAAATATGACCGGCAAGGAAAAGTTCGGAAAATAGCCCCTGATCAAATAAGCAGATGGTAATTCATTTTTTAGAGTTCTGTGCTGTCCTCGCACACTTACATACTCGTCTCTCATTCGTTGAGCCTGAACATGAGAAATACTGCTTCAGGTTACATGTGTTCACTTGGTTCAAAATCAGTTCTCTCTTCCTCTAATATGACAGTTTGACCGAATATTCCTTTTCCCGGTTGTCTGTCTTTCCTTGATTAGCCTTGTGCGATTAGAACCAGTGAAATGAGTAAAAGAAACCCGATCCGTGCGCTTGTCTCTCCCGTCGTTCACCTGTGACGGTTGAATAATTATGTGGGGTTTTCCGTATCTGATTTTCTAAGGCCGTCTTTTTTGTTGCCTCTTTCTCTGCGGAACCGGATGAGCGAATTAGACCAAAAACTTTTGTGCTCTTGACCCGTTTTTACCTTGCAATTTCCCAGTTTACTGACGGTGTAGTAGACGACGATTTCTCATTTCTTTCTCCAAGACAAAAGCCAGTTTTCAAATGTGCTGTGATCGGCGCATGTGAGGATAGATGAAAACTTCTGCTACCGATTTGATGAACACGGTTTATTCTATTCCCCTCTTTTTTCTTGCTTGTGTTTGTTCTGGCCAGTTGAATCTGCTCTTTCCCTTGGAGGCCGTTTGCAGCACAGTCTCCGATAAATTTTATCCGTGTTCAAAACTCTTCTCTCTTTTTCTGCTGTTTGAATTGTCTTTGGGCATATGGGGATGAATGGCAATTCAGACCCGTGAAGGCTGAGATTATCACTACACGGTAGTGACTAAACAATCATTGATCAGAAAATATATTTACCTTTTTTCAAATGGAGCCGGACAAGTGTTTAGGACAACTTGCTCTTTTATTTGTCAGAATCTAATGTTCGTTTCATCCCTTTGATTTGATTTTCAAAGGTGTTATAGCAGTCTTCCTAAGTACGATGATTAGAGACACTGAGCCACATGTCTGAGTGTCGTAAACAGTGACACCTGTGCATCTACTCAATATCCTTGCAACCTTAGTCTTCATTACTTCTCTGACACTGATTTGAACATTCCATCCTTCCCTTTACTCCCCCTCCTTAATGGGCAGTCATGAGACAGCACGGAAGTGCGTGTTTATTGGTTGTAAAAACTGAAACTGAAGTCCGATTGTTGTACCATACACAATCCACACGTCGTACATGTCAAACGAATCAAGGAATCACTTTAACCAACTGCATGCCGATCAGCTTAGGGGGCATTTTCATTCATCCTATTTGGTAATCTTGTCTGTCGTTTCCGTGGCCGTCATTCCTTTGTAATTCGTTAAAGTCGCCTTGATTTCTTTCAACAATTTATCTTTCTTTGTGTTTCAAACAACGAATATACATTGGTGATATAATCTGATCTCATGTACGGTTCTAACGTGCGATTCACGTTGTTGTTGTGTCACTTCCATCACTATTGTGAAATAGTCTGAGCCGCAACCGATCTCATTTAAAAAATATTCTTTTTGCCGCTTGTTTTTCGAGACCTTGGTTTTTCATTGAACGACACGTGAATCGAACAACACTCAAGACCCATATTGTTTACAACCTTTT